GCCCCCAACTGTGGCGACTGCTAGCCGCATTGAAGAAGTGGACGAGGACGAGGATGAGCAAAACCCCAGCATTGAAGCTCTCTTCGGCACTCCTCCCGGGGGAAAGCCTCGCAAATTTATACTCGTGGACGACACCCAACGGGGTGCCCGCGTCCGGGTTAAGGTTTCTTTGGACCTAGTTGACATGGATGAGATTCCGGACTCCTATCGTAGGATGAACTCGGTATTTCCCCGGACCTATTTCCCCGTCCAAATGCGAAGCCCTCGCACTTCTGTTGTGCCTGGCAACCGGTTCATCAAGGATCACTCCGAGCTGGACGACGAAGACGAAGAACTACCAACAGCTGGAAGAGTCATGGTTCCCGTTCCTCAGATCGATGGTGAAAGTGAGATTGCAGTTCCACGATTGTCTCGAGGCCGACGGCGAAAGGAGGTTCTCCTCAACGACCTGGCCTACCGGATAAGCTGGAGCCAAAGCCGAGTCTTTGCAGGACGGATGATGTTTCTGCAGCGATCCCGTACGTGCTCCTTTTGTTTCTTGGTGTAGTGACATTGCTCTCAGGAAGTTCAATGTTGCAGTAAGTTCGCGTATCGATGACAATTACTAACTCCGATGATTTCTGGGGAGTAATAGTGGATGCATACCGTAACAAGATGCGCGCCGCAATGCTAGCGGAGGGCCAAGAAGCTTCGGCAATTCCGCAACATTTTGAGACGCGAGCGGGAAAGCGACGCTTCCTCGAGCGCAAGCGACGAGTCACACCAGCCCGAGACGCCACGGCACATATTTTGTCGGCCTCCCGACGCAGTGCTGAAGAAGTTGAAGCTTGAAATTCCCATCATGAACTCATCCACTTTCGAGCAAAAGTCCGGTTCGCTGCTCCGCGACTGCTCTGTTACGATTCTCCTTTCTATCTCGCCACGCCCTTCTCTTATGTGACACTTTTACACTTTCTTGCGGCACTTGTGCCGCCTCTCGCTGCACCCACTCCTTTTCGTCTCTCCGAAACATGTGATGAGATATCTTTTGCGGAACATCACGGATGGCGAATGAGTTGTAGATATTGCGCTGAAATGAGACCATGACGGTAAGGGGAAACTTATGGTGGTCTCGCGAGATCCGGTGGTGGATCGTGTGAGACTTCTTCGGTCTGTCGTATAATCTATTTGGCTTACATTTGTATTCTTTTCGTGACGATTGATGATGAAACTACAGACGCTGCGCTGGACATGAATGACAAGATGACATTATGACCTGGTTTGGTTTGGTTTGGGAGAAGGTTTCGCGGGCGTGGCTGTCTCATTGTGAAATATGTTTCGCTTATGAGTATGCTGTATGTACGATTCGTTCCACTGCGCATAGTGTCGGAAGGAGGGACGAGGCTCGCTCTTCTTCATTTATTTTTTATGTTGGTGCCATTGCATGACTTTGTGCCTCGTTGCGCCATCTCGAGCAAAGAAACAGCGAATTCTCGACGTAAGTCTAAGACAAGTATCTGTTCGCTGGGTGGCTTACGACGCGCCACGACGTGATCTCCGAGGGTGGGTAGGACACATTTCGTGCTGCATGAGGGAGAGGAGTGGGTGGGGTGTAGATTGACGAGCAAGATATTATGACTGAAAGATGTCAATTTCAGCGGGTGAAGTCGTACATACTCTCGATTTCATGACCGGTTGTGTTCATGGATTACTGCCCTGGCAGTCCGCGTCCGGAGGTCGGATAAGCCCGGAAGGGGATTAGTGGCAGACCCTGAACTAACTTAACCCGTGGTGTCACTGGACCCTGAGCGGCCTGAGGTTCTTCTCTTCTCCGCACTGCATAGTTCCGACTCACTGACTGGCCGCTTTCGCTCTTCCCTCTTACCTTCAATCTCCTAGTACGGAGTAGTTACTAACCTACTTGACTCTTCGTTGCCTGGTCCACCAGCCGCCACAATCACAAGTCCAGCGATGCATGCGGTAATGCCTTCAATAATACGAGCTCGCTTGTTTTCTCTCCCGATTCTTCCTACGGAGTTACTTAATTCATCTACTCGATTACATTCAATCTAGAATTGGTATGTGAGGAATCCCATCCGCTGCCTCCCTCTCTCTTCTCCCCTCCCCCTCACGTCACCCCATCTAAGACATCTAACTATCTCCCGCATTGTTCGCTACGTATGAATGCGTCCAGACGGTTCTTCTCGCGCTGACCATTTAGGTTTCATGAAATCGTATCGCTGTCACCTTTCATTATCGTTCGCCATCGTTCCTGGGACTTTCCCATGGTCATCCGAGAAGAGTAACCGTGGTTCCCGCTTGCCCATAGCAGCTGTTCTCGTTTCAGTCGCTTCCTCGCTCCAGTATTATTGACCTCCCATCGCTGCTCAAACCCAAACCTTGTCGGCTGCTTTTCCTTCGTCCCTGCCTGATTGTGCTGCTATTTTCAGGACAGCCCGCCAAGCCGTTGCCTCCCGCCTTGCTTTGTGCAAAGCTGCGTTTCTTTTCCTGTTTTCATATAACTCTCTGGCATCTCCTCCATCTATCTTTATCTTATCTAGGCTTTTATTTTCTTCTTTACTCGGCTCTACTTCCTACAAAGCCGTCCGGCGCCACCTTGGCGTGACCAGTCGTTTCTTTCACAGCCATGTCCGGTCTGAACCGGGTTGCTAGTTACAGCGAGGGCGATGACGGGGCGGTGGTCGCAGGTTCCCGCCAGCGTTCATCACCAGAAGAGGGGCGTCTTATGGACAGCAGGTACTACAGCGACATGGACATGAATCGTACTATCGCATCACACCAGAGACACATTCAAACGTACAACGACGGGAATTTAGAGCCGGTGCCGGAAGGTCGGAGCTTGGAGCACACACGCACGCAGTTCACCGCAACGCCGGGGATTGACAATATGGGGCCCTCGGCCGTGGGCGGAGGCATCAGTGGTATCGCCCTTGGCGTTGCTAATACCCATGACCGCCAGAGTGGTGTTGACGCTTTCAGGGAAACAGCCGGTCCATTGTACAATGTCCCCGCAGAACGAAATTATCACACCACTGGCGCCGAGAATCCGTATATCCCCGCACCGCCGCCACATTCAGAAGGCACCTTTTACGCCAGCTCAGAAACCCTGCGACCGCGCGATTCTTACGGGTCGAATGTTGCGCTGGGCGCGGCGGGTGCAGTCCCGGGACAGTTGACGCCGACTACGGCGCCTTCTCAGCACAGCGTTCAAGATAGTCCTTATCAGGGGGTGGGGGCGTTCAGTGAAGGGCCCTACCAACGGCAATCGGTTTATTCTACGCAAAACTACCCGCTCACGTTCAATCCGGATGAGATTGCAGATGACGGGGACGATGGGTTTGTCAACGTGGCGCCGAAGGGTGTGTCGCCGTCGAGTAATCAGAGCTTTAACGGAACAGCAGGTGCTGCCGCCGTTGGGGGAGCCGCTACAGGTGGGCTTCTAGGTGGTTTGAGGGGCTTGTTTGGGGGGAAGAAAGACTCCAGTCCGTCGTATGGACCGGTTCCTGGCCCAGGGCTGGAAGCAGCCGAGAAAGGACAGAGAGCTGGCTCGATAGCCGGAGCAAGTCGGCGGAAGCGCGCGTGGATTGTGGGACTCACCCTCGCGTTCATTATCGTGGCTGCCATTGTCGGGGGAGCTGTCGGGGGCATTTTGGGTAACCGGAGTCACGATGGCTCGGCTGCAGCAGACGGATCGGGCAGTTCCTCGGGCAGTTCCTCGGGCAGTTCCTCGGACGGATCTTCGGACTCGTCTGATGGACTGCTTGATAAAGATTCTTCGGAGATCAAGGATTTGATGAATAATGCTAATCTGCACAAGGTCTTCCCGGGAGTGGATTATACGCCGTGGGGAGTGCAGTACCCGCTTTGTTTGAAGTATCCTCCTTCCCAAAACAATGTCACGCGCGACCTCGCGGTTCTCTCGCAATTGACCAATACGATCCGACTATATGGTACAGATTGCAACCAAACAGAGATGGTGCTTACTGCTATCGACCGCCTCGAGTTGACCGACATGAAGCTTTGGCTGGGTGTGTGGATTGACAGCAACCAAACAACGAGCGAGCGCCAAGTCAAACAGCTTTACAACATCATCGATGACGCAAACAACACCTCGATCTTCAAGGGAGCTATCATCGGGAACGAAGCTCTATATCGCGCAGGCCCAGACATTGCAACTGCCCAGACAACCCTGATCAGCTACATGACTGACGTCAAAAACCACTTCAAGCAAAATAGCATCGACCTCCCCGTGGGGACATCAGACCTGGGTGACAACTGGAATCAGGAGCTGGTCCAGGCAGCCGACTTCGTCATGTCCAATATCCATCCGTTCTTTGGCGGTGTTAAAGCCACCGAGGCAGCCAGTTGGACCTGGACTTTCTGGCAAAACCACGATGCTCCGCTGACTGCAGGCACCAACAAGCAGCAGATCATCTCGGAAGTGGGTTGGCCTAGCGGTGGAGGGAATGATTGTGGCGATGGCGACAACTGCGAAAATGATACTCAGGGAGCTGTAGCAGGTGTTGACGAAATGAATCAATTCATGGCCGACTGGGTGTGCCAGGCTTTGGAGAATGGGACCGAGTATTTCTGGTACGTCAATCTTTTCCTTATCGTGTGCCTAATTCTAACCGATCACAGGTTCGAGGCCTTTGATGAGCCTTGGAAGGTTCAGTACAACATCGAAGGCGAAGAATGGGAGGACAAATGGGGATTGATGGATGCAGCTCGCAAGCTGAAACCAGGCCTGAAAATCCCCGACTGCGGCGGCAAGACCGCTACATGAGGTGTCGCGCTTTCCACCGACTACACTCTATTCAAGTCCCGACTATTAGTGTCATGGGTCTTTCGATGTACACACGAATCTCCGACATACACCATGTTTTAACGATGCACGGACTAATGGCTTGTTCTGAATCTCTTTGCGGTGTTTTGCGCTTCCTGTTTATCTCTTTGCACAGATGTGACGGTGGCGGTGTTGTCCTCGACTGTTGGGGGGGCTGTTCATGTTACCTCCCGTGCCAAGCTAGGATGATTGTTGAGGGTGTCTGTATATAGTTTGTTGATAGTGATGGTCTTAAGCCACCGACAGTTACTTGCAAATATCATCTATACTTGCGTTTGCTGGAGACTTGCCTGTCCTCGTGCCCTGGTTGAGTCGTGCCCTTCAGATGTAATCCTGGTTTGGTTTTCCACACTACTCCTTTCTCACCCATCAGTCTTCGCGGTTTTCTTCCTCGATCGGCTGGGTATAATGATAGACTCGCATCTCCCAAAACGCCTCCTTCAGCTCCTCAAACCGCGGCAACCGCACCGACCCGGTCCGCGCCACGAACCGCTCGATCCCGTCGGAGCCCGTATCCTCCAAGGGCCCGCCAACCACCCCCGCCGGATTCCGCGCCAGCAGCACCTCGAGATGCGCCTTCTCCGCCCCGGGACAGAACAGCAGCGAATTTGAGTTGACCTTCCCGAACCCGTCCGGATGCTCCACGACGGTGATCCCCAGGGCGGCAAGGAGTTGGCGATCGAGCGCGTTGAAGACGGGATCTTGGGCGTAGATTTGGACTGTGGATGTTGTTGGATTCGCTAGTTAATTGACTGGTGTGTTAGTTTTTATTTGTGTAGTGGTAGTAGATGATTATGCGGGGGGGGGGGGGGGGGGGGAGGCGCCTAGGGGTAAGGGCTGTTTTGGATTGGTATAGGCTGTTAGGCATACCAGTCAAACACTCCACCACACTCATCAACGCATTGAGTTGGTAGAGCGAGACGCTGCGACGATCCACCCATCCCCCGCGCAGGAAGCCGCTCGGACTGCCGAGGCCGATGCAGATTATATTGGTTATTCTTGGGGTGGTGGGGGTGGTGGATTGCGCTCCTTGTTCTGTTCTCTGTGTTTGTTCTGGTTCCAGGTGTGGTTCTGTTTGCGTCTGCGGTTCTTCTCGGGTTGTTTCTGGTAGGGCTGGTTCTTGTTCTTGTTGGTGTTGTTGTTCATGCTCGAGGCAAAACTCCCGCCGCACCGTCGCGGTCAGCGTCGCGGCGGTGGTGGAGGCGGTCCATTTCGTGCGGTGGGTGTGGTATTGCGTGAGTAGGGAGGGGAGGGTGAGGAATTTGGGGGCTTCGGCCGGGGTGAGTAGTTCTGGTTGTTGTGGTTGTTGTTCTGGCTGTGGGTGTGGGTGTGGGTGGGATTGTGGACGGTGTTGGCGATGCGCGCGATGGGCGTTGCCTGTCGTCGTGACGTGCGTCCAGCCGGTCGCGTCGGTGATTGTGGTGCGTTTGGTGGGGCCGGTGCTGGTGCTGGTGGTGGGCTTCTTTTTGCGGGAGGTGTGTGGCATTTTGATTGTTGATGTTGATTGTAGGGTGCAAGGGTGGTGTTTTGGGGTTGCTGGTGCTGCGGTGCTGCGGTGTTGCGGTGTCAAGCACAAAAAAAAAATTGGAGATGCGGGGCGGCGGTGGTTGAGCTTGGAGGCCGTGGAAGTGGGGAGGGAGGGGGAGGGGGGATTGGCGGGTGGGGTACACTGTACTCAGTGTACTGTACCCTGTACAGCCTGGAACTTAACCTGGAACTTGGGCTTGAGCTTGAGCTTGAGTGTATCGGGATCTATGCAACAATGGCTTGATTTGTCTCAATTACTTGTCTTAGATGAGCGCGAGTAGCGATCTGCAGAGCAGTGCATGTCTCATCTTTACAATTGGTAGATATCTACCCTTTACTCCGTACACTGCGTGGGTAAAGTGGCTGGGTGTTGTTCCTGCGCTCCTGTTGTACAGGTATTTTGTGTTCGGCGCATGACGATTCTATGCGATTTTCTGGAATTTCAACAGCATAATACACCGGTGCAGTGACTCGGTCGAGAACTAATTTCAAGGCATTGTCGAATCTAACCAACAAGATCTCGGTGCTTTGACAGCTGGCGCGTACCCCGCTGCTCACTGCAACACAATGCATTTCATAAGAATCTCGAGTCCGCTGTATATCTGTCGATCTCCGAGCCTCCGCACATACCAGCTCAGTTCTGAGCAGAAATTCTAGCAATGGATATTTCTCTTTCTCAATACCCTTCATTCAACTGGCGATTCAACACTGCAAGCCTCCGCTGAATAATCGGGGTTCGCTCTTGGTCTCTTCCCGAAACTAACTGCATCCAGACTAGCCCACGGCCCCCTCGGACAGCTTAAAATACCACTCGGCATTGCATGACCTGCCATTGACAACAAACCGAGTTCGTGGCCTTGTCTTTTCTCGTCGAACCTTCTTTCATCATGGCCGAACACCCTTCTTTCACTCTCGCGGCTCTCTGTACGTTGCTCACAATATGCGGAGTGTGAAAGTCAATGACCATTAACAGCCACCTAGTGCCCGCCGGCGGTATCGCCGGGTTCATGCGAACTGGTTCTAAGCCCTCCCTGATCGCAGGCGTGGGACTGGGTCTTTCTTATGGATTCGCTGGTATGTTCTCCGCAGGGAGCCTGCGCTGCTCTTCTGCTACAAGACTTGAGTATTCTGTCCGAGACTTGTTACTGACTGGTCCCAGGCTACCTGATCAAGGAAAACAAGGACTACGGCACGGAGCTTGCGCTGGGCAACAGCATCCTCCTGCTCGGCTCGGCCATCCCTAGGATCATCAAGACCAAGGCCCGGGCCCCCATGCCTCTGGTCCTCGGCGCCACCGGTCTGCTGGCGTCGTTCTATTACCAGAAGAAGGTCCGGGAGTTCAGGTTCGGTGTTTGATTCGCTGTATTGTATGAGATGACTACTAAAGGCTTGATTGCTGAGATGATGAGGGTGTTTGTGGACGCCCTGTGTACTTTTACTGAGAATGAGATGCTGTATGTTATGTGCTGGGCTGTTCTACTTGGGCTTGCGATTAATCACACCATAATCCAGATGGATCACTGACCCGACAGGATTGGGGATCCTTCTGAGCAAACCATTGGCCAGGCCGATGTCTGATATTTGTCTTTGTTGAGCGGTGAAAAGCTCTACCATGATATTATGCTCCGAATCACTCGACAGTGCATAAGACACATCAGACTGATATACCGGGTCGATGTTGTTTGCTTAGTCAGCGTGCTCAGCATTTGTTAACTAACTAGTTAGTGAGTTATGTAGCGTATAGATCATCAAGACAATGGCTCTGCAAGCCGCTTCAAGATGATTAGGTAGTTGTTCTCAGCCCTTCCTTGGAGCAAGAATGCAATGTAGGACTGCTGCCCTGATCGGGTCGGTGCCTTGGATGCAAGGTCGGCTACGAAGAATGACAGGAAAGCGCGACCCGAAATTTCGGCTTCGGCAGGGAGCCCGGATCAACATCGCGTAAATCAACCCAGTACACTTTCGGTGTCAAGCCAGTATTTTGTGTCACTGCCTTCGAAATGGCCAGAACCACTCGGGCTAGTGCGCGATCTAAATCGACGGCATCGCAATCCAAGGTGACCAAAGTCTCAAAGACACCCAGGGTGCCTAAGGCGCCCCGACGCGCAGCCTGCGACTCATGCTTCAAGAAAAAGGTCTTTGTTGATTCTCTTTCCCCAGCTCCCACGATACCATGGCAAGAAATATTGTACTTTGATCTAATGAGTCCCTAGATACGATGCGATGCAGAATCCCCGCAGTGCAATTGGTGCCTCCACCATAACCTTGCCTGCACATATACGAGGCTTAAAAAGTAGGTCGAAATTGCGCCTGAGCCTCCCTCATCAGCTCCAACACTACATCCCAGATGGTCTAATCCACCACTCCAGAAGTACTGGTCGCGATACCGTATGGGAGGATGCTGCCAAATCGAATCTCATGTCTGCTCGTAACAGTCAGTTCCATCCGAGCAATATTGAGCACCGAGTCACAGACTAAGTGATTACTCAGGTACTGCAGCAAGGGCTACTTTGACCATGGCGTTTAATGACGGAGTATTCATGACGCCAGAGGAAGAGCAAAAATGGATCGGATCCTGCACTGGTGAGACGGTTGACCACGCGAAACTTTACGCAATTGAGCTTCCATGGTCAAACCCCTTTTCTGGCGCCAAGTCCCATTCTTCGTCGCCGGAACTTCCTTCCCGGCCTGTCGTCGAGAAGTATGTTAAAGTGTACTGCTCATCCTACCAGAGTCGCGTCTTTCCGGTAATCAGCAAGGCACTCTTTACAGAGACTCTGGATCTCGCCTACGGACCAACCGATGTTTTTGGCTCCGATAGTGCCAGATCATGCGTGTATGCGTTTCTCTCGGTGATATACCTCTTCGGGCTCAATGGTAATCTAGTTGAAGCCCATGATTGCGAGACTTATGCCCGGGCTGCGCAGGGCTTTATGGCTAGTCTTGTTTGTGAGATGACTCTCAGCGGTCTGCAGTCCATTATCATGCTTGTAAGTCGAGAGCTTCCCGTCTGGGAATCTTGCATCTTGTGTGAGTATCAGCTGACCTGCCACTTAGATCCAGCATCAATACTTCCTGGGTGATTTGCAGGCTGCTGCAGTTTCCGTGTCGATAGCCAGCCGCCTTCTATTCAGTCTCCGTGCTCACACAATGTCACCATGTGACAGCGCTTATCATAAAAGTGTAGCTGAGCACCACCTGCGCGATCTTTTCTGGCTATGCTATTCATTTGATAAAGACATTTGCTTGAGAATTGGGCAGCCTCCATGTATCAATGACACTCACTGTGACCTCACTCTGCCTATCGACTATGCGCAGCTGCAAGAGTCCAATTTGCAACGAGAGACCAGGTCGAATACCGATGACACACTCCCTCTTTTCCCTTTTGACCTTCGACTTTCGATGGTCAAGTCGAATGTCTATCAGGCTCTCTATTCCACAAACGCTGCGAAGAAGCCGGCTTCTGAGATATTATCGAGCATCCGGAGTCTGGATCAAGAGCTGGAACAATGGAGACAGAGCTTACATCCGGATATCCGGCCCACGTTGTCTTTCCACGACGAAACGCCGGTCAGTCGCGGCCTGAACACACAGGCAATCATGTTGCGGCTAGCATACTATCACTGCGTCACACTCATCCATCAAGCCATTGATAGGTGCCGTGGCTGCCAGATAAGGGATTTAGTCTCTAGTGCCATGCTGATCACGAATGTCAATAAGTCGACGCTTTCATTCCTCGAGGTCGCGATGCCTGTTCTGGCAGGAGAATGTTTCTGGTGAGTGCCTGTGTCTGCGTCTCTGCACGAGACGGGAATGGTTGCTGACCATAATCGACAGGGTGGTTATTTTTTACGCAGTCACTGCAGTCCTAGCGCTGTTTCGCGCTATCCTCAAGAACCCCCTAGATTCCAGTCTTATGAAAACTCTACGGGGCGTTCCTAAATTGATGCGTAAAGTCCCGGTTCGAACACCTACCCTTGGTGTTATCTTCCACGGGCACTTTCTGAATACTTTCACCACCGAGCTTGTCCGACTAGCCGAGGGTGCAATTGCCAAGGCAGACCAGGATGCACGTGGTTCGCCTTAGGCCGGCTTTCGAAGGAGAACGGGCCGCATCATGTCAGATATTTCTACTCTACGGTACCCTACCGAGTACTTATAGACTACCGACTAGGCTCAAAATCGCCTGGACTACCTCCTCTGGACTCTCCTGAGGCGCCCAATGTCCCACGCCGTCAATCAATCGCATCTCGCGAAAGTCACTGCACACTTCTCCATTTGCCATCTTTTCCAAGGCGCCAGGCTGCTGGTAGATTCCCCAGTCGAGCTTGCCTGACACAAACGTGCAGGGAAGGTCGACCTTTCGCCCCATGAACACCTCCGCGTCCCAGGTGTACTGCCTCCCTTTGGATGTCTGCACCCGGTACCAGTTCAAAGCCCCCTGAAACCCTGTCCGCTGGTATTCCCTCACGTACACCGCGAGATCCTCATCGGGCAGCCACTCCCGAGAGGCCCGCAACCCTTCCTCAGACTCCTTGCGCATGTGTAGCTCTACCGCCTCAGGCATCGTCGCGTCCGCTGGCATGACATAGTAGTACGGCATTTTGGCGAGCTCGTCGGCGGTCCAGCCGGTCAACGTGCGTGGCTCATTCCCTTTCCAGCGACCACTCTTGAGGTGGAAATACCCCCGCAAGAAGCCATGAAGCCCTTCCGCTCCGGGAGGGTGGAGCATTTCAGCGCTGGCAGACGGAGTCGAGTAGTACCATTTATAGTGCTTGCGGCCCAGATCCAGTAGGGCAGAGTGCACGTCGTCTCCTGCGCTGGATACGGGACCGTCGCCTGTCGAGGTTCGGGGGACAGCAGAGCCAGCTGGCGGCTGCTGCTGCTGCTGCTGCTGCTGCTGCTGACCATCCACAGATGTAGCAACAGCACTCGCTGGCGCCGGCATGCCATTGAAAGGATGGCTGAGCAGCACAACGCTACGGAAGAGATCCGGCCGGGCCACGGCGCACATGGCGGCGGTCACGGCGCCGCAATCGTGCCCGACCACGCAGTGGACGGAGGTGTACCCCAGTGCATACACGAGGAGGACGACATCGCGGACGAGGGCGGAGACGGTGAACGTATGCAGGTCCGCCTCGGCGTAGGGGCGGGTGTCCCAACCGCACGTGCGACCGAAGCCCCGCTGGTCGGGGGCCACGACATGGTAGCCGGCGGCGGCGAGACGGGGGATGACTTTCCGCCAGGAGAAGGCGATTTCCGGGAACCCGTGGAGAAGGATTATTAGGGGGCGGTCATGGTTGTTGTTGTTATTATTTGGTGGGTGACCAGCTTCGAGGATGTGGGTTGTTAGGGAGGGAGTGGTTATGAAGCGGAAGGTTATGCCGGAGGGGAGTGGAAGGGGAGAGAGTGATGGTGATGGTGGTGATACAGATGTTGTCATGATTAGGAGGGATTTGTGGAGTTGCAAAAGTATACGGGAGAAGATTGGTTACGGGAGTGTGGGGGGAGGTGGGATGTGAGTAAATGTGTTTTATGAGTAATTATGCAGAGATCGGGTAAGTGGCACGATCTGACGATCGGTAGATGGAGTTGATCGGATACAAAATTTAAGTCTTGCGCTATGACGATGATGTTGATGATGGTGATGGGGATGTGGGATGAGGATGAGGATGATGATGATGATGACGATGGGTCTGCCATGATGAAACTTTGAACCCAACTAACTAGTTAACTGTGTGGGCTCCAAAAGTGCCTGCCTGATGGGGCTTAGTGTAGAAGATCACGTTCTTGCGGCGGACCGGAGCTTTTCCTGATCGAGACGAACCAATGATGAATCTCCCCATTGGATTGAACTTTGGACCGCAATGGAACGAACCATTCTTGTTCCTCTCACTCCACGCAGGCTTATTCCTTATTCCTTTATTCCTTATTCCAAGCTGACTCGGGCTCAATCCCATTCGAACCTCGACCCGATTTCAATGACGCAACCAATTTCTGCAGCCCAACTACGGTTCTGGCCCTTTTTTCTCTCCTGCCGATAGTTAATCCAGACCAGACCAGACCAGACATCTTTCTTTCCTTTGCTGCCTCCCCCTCTCAGTACTCCGTACCTCCCCTCCCCGTCCTTCTCTTTCGTCTTGTCTACTGCTATCCTGTGCTGTGCACTGTGTGTGCCATCCCCCCTCATCTTCGCTTTATCCCGTCGTGCAGGTCCTGCATTCTCCTTGCTTCCTTTTCCCTCCCCCCCTTTCCAATATCCTGCATCTGCACTCACTCACTTTTCCCGTTGCTGCTGCGACTCTCTTTCCGTTTGTTTTCCTACCTTCCGTCGACCTCCGTCGCTATCCCCTTGATCAAAAACGTTCCTACACTTAATCAAATCGCCCATTCAACCCACCCATATATGCTTTAAGTTGATTTTGAGGGCTCAGTCGCTTGGAAACTCAATTGCGCTCGTTTTGGGCAACGACCGCCTGAGCCATGTTCCGCAGAAAGAGGAGCTCCTCTCAACATCAGGTAACCCCCTTCGTTCCGTGGGAATGGCATTCGGATCTTCGACGAGCTAAACGCCGCTCATTTATCTAGCATCCTCTCTCGGCCTCCTCCTCCCAATCCGCGCAATCCGCTGCCAGCCATGCTTTTCTCAAATCCCAACCCTCCTCCAGCAGTCTCTCCTCCGCCGCCGCGGCCGCCGCCCTGCGCAGCCTCACACCCACGCCGACACCCGTCGAAAATGTGCAGACCAAGCGGATGATGCAGCGGCGGACTTCCGTCTCCTCCCAACTCAGCGGCACGCCGAGCCTGCGACCCATCAGCGGAAATGGGGTCCGTCGCTCCAGCAGTTCCGCCTCCATGACGCATCGCACATTTCGAGATCAATCCCCGCGGCGACCCGCATCCAGCGCTGGACATGTCGACCCCGCACCGCCGCTCCCGTCCATCCCCCGCGAATATACCGGGCGAAAGGACCAAGCACGTCGATCGGTGAGCATGGGCCCATCGCTGCGACAAAGTCCGCGCGGGAAATCGATGGCCGACCAGGGAACAACCGGGGATCGCACTGCTGCCCCCAAGCCGCCGACACGAGCGCCTGCACAAGCGCCCGCGTCGACGCCGTCCCCTGAGCTGCGACGACCCGCGAGTCGAAACTCGATCAATTTCTCATATCCGATGGGCTCACGTCCGACATCGCCGACGGGTTTGATGGAAATGGATGCATCGACGACTACCTCTCTGGCTGGTCAGCTTTCCGCTCCAGAGTCTCCGAAGGTCACAGGCAATAGTCCCCGAGCAACGCGCGGTGCCAAAACAAGGGGTGTCTCCCCGGGTAGCCCGGGACAGCGTCCATCGTCTGCAGGGACTGCGGTGGCTGCTGCACAAGCTGCCATTGTACCCCGGAGCCAAGAAGCGAGTGCCGTTGCTGCGTCTCCGCGGAGACCCTCTTCTCAAGATCGAAGTATTCCGGACACAGCTCCGACCCAACAGCTCCTGGCCCCCGAAGCCCGACATCCTACACGCCCTGCCTTGGTGAAACGCCCGTCGACAGTGCCGGAAGATGCTCAAGGGGAGGAACAGGCAGAAACCTCAGGCCCCGCGCAGCGAGCAGAGCTCCCTCGTGGGGGTACCGTAACGCCAGAGAGCCCACAGACCATCAAACCACAATCTACACCGGACCAGACCAAGGATCAATTACTCAGTCCACCCATAAGCCCACCGAGCTCGCAGCCTTCCGTCGACGCCAGTGTTGAACAGCAGCCGTTACATATGCGTCAATCCAGCAGTCCCGGGCGCTCCGCTCGCTTCTCACGCCATCTACTGGTGGCGAACCTTCCGAGCGATCACCTTCACCAACCCCCACCAAGGTCCGTGTCCCCGGCCAAATCTGCACTGAAACATCCCCGCAAAGATGGCTTTGCTTCCGATCCCCACCCGGAGACAGTGCTGCGACCAGGCCCTGCGCTCAGTGAACTATCCGATGGCACTTCCGTCGCATCTGATGATGGTTCAAAGCAAGGGGCTCGAAAGAGGCATGCCAAAGTCAGCTTCGATGATGAGGCAGAAATCGTGGGCACGGCAGCGAGCCCGCCGACATCTCCCGACGAAGTTCTGCCCGAGTCGCCGCAGTCCAAGCCCAAGAGTAAGGGTGGGTGGTTTGCTAAGCGTAAGCATAACTTACGAAGCGCGACGCCTGATGAATTCGAGCATATGTTGAAACCTCGACTTGCTCTGCCATCATTTGGCAGCATTCGAGGTAACAGGTCGGGAGGCCAGCCGGAGCCGCAGCCTCGCGAGATTAGCGACAATGAATCCACGACTTCGTCCGACTCTCCAATCGATACGTCGAGGTTTTCATTCTCTAATGACCATGCTGTGGGAAGTGTCCTAGCCAATTCTCAGAACGAGGCGCCGCAAGAGAGCACGACGCATAACCGTCCAGCCAGCCCCCTTCCAGCAGTGTTGGAGCTAGAAAGTCCGCCAGAATCGAGTCACCGGGATGATCGGGTAGAACAGCCCGGCACGGCAATCAGCCGCCCGGCGGAGGTCAACGCCCCAGCCGAGGCAACACAACCACAAACTCCTAGACAGAATTTGGCAGTTCCTGATATTACCGTTCAGCCAGCTTCGCCCGAACTTGAAAAGGAGCGCCCGAGCTTGGAATGGTACGAAGTCCCCGGGGGCTTCCCACGTTCCTCTTTAGACTCGGACCCCACACAGGCAAAGCCCAAGAGAAAGTCAATCACATGGGACGACACCGATGTCATGGTCGATTCAGCCGCAGAGCGAGAGACTGATGACGAGTCCGGTGAGAGCATTTACAGTGATGCGGAGGAGGGCGTCAATGGCCATGGCTTTGGCTCTATTGATGCTGTCGTCGATGGCCGGCAGTCGGCCCCATCGTTCCAAGGCGCAGCAGCAGGACTTGGTCTTTCCGAAAAGAATCAGCATCATACGGATGACTGGTCGGATTCGGAGTATCCACAGACCTGCCAGATTGCCCGCGCGAGCTCTCCTGTGCAAGACACAGCCCTTAGTTCCGTCCCAGAATCCACCGAATCGGTGCATCAAGCTATGCCTTTCTCGTCTCCCTATCCTCCTTTCGCCGCTCAGTCACAGGGGAAAAGTCAAAGTGCTTCATCCCAAGCCAGTCTCGCACGATCGACTTCTCAACATGTCAAATCTGTTGGACAATCCAACCTAGGCAATCGTGCAGACAACACGGCAACGAAGACTTCTGACCTCCCGCAGGCGAGTGCAACGCAGTCAACTGCTACTCAAGACCGGGCCAGGCCAATGTCCTGGAGTCCTGCTGCCATGCAGAATGGAGTCGGTAGTAAGAATCGTGCGTCAGCAGTGAACGGCAAGGCACCAACTCCGCGAAGAACATTGTCCAGTGGCAGCGATTCTTCGAGTAGTTTCAAGCGAGCCAGTCGTCCATCTCGGGCAGAGTCGAACCACACTATGCGTCTGACAATGCGGGGCGGCCCCCCAGTCCGACAGGCCCCAGCCCGGGCAATCTCCCCACCAGCCGACTCACGTCCGCGTTCGCCGCAATCGGGGGGTAATATGCGGACGACGCTTCGAATGAACGGAAACAAACGCGAGAAGGGCTCATTCTTTTCCAACAAGTCGCCGAAGAATAAGGTATCCAAGGTACCGGGTAGTCGATTCACTTCACGCTTCCCTGATTCGGACGACGACGAGGGCTTCGACAACTGGCGATCACGATATCGGTATGACGACTCTAGTGACGACGAGGATGAACGAGCCCCAGCTCCGCTGCCCCCTGTTCGAGGGATACCTCGGCGACAGGGCGCTCACGATGGCGATTCAACGGAGCTAGAAGACAGCTCCGACGAGGAGCGACAGGCGGCTGCGTCTCGACCGCGAGCTGCTGTGCCATCTCCCCGCAAGTCAGGCTCAACACGGGACCCTGCCTTGGCAGCAGTGGCTCGGAGTCGTGGAATGACGGATGAGGAGATGGACGAGTTTCTTCAGCCCAATCGAGGGCGCAAGGCGGGACTGTTCCACCGGTTCAGCATGCGCAAGTCCAAATCGCCTGTCAATCGCAGGTCCCTCACAAATGGTACTACTCGAAATGGCGGTCTTCCAGAGCGTTCGCGAGCCGAAGGCGAACCAGATCCCCCGCTGCCTGGAGCTCAAACCAATGTCGTCACCACTATCACGGCGACCAACCCGCCGCCGCCAACCTCGTCCAAGCTTGTGCGACGTGCGTCGCAACGGTCCTCGCGCAGTGACGGATGGCCATTGCGAACCGAGCGCAAAGAGTTGGGAAATGCACCTGCAGCTACCACCAACGGTGTTGACGAGCGCCTCGCGACAGTTGATGAAGATGTCCGCAATAAGCCGATTACCGCTCCTGCCGGTGGACCCGCCTCTAAAGAAATCCAGGATCCTTCCGTCCCAGCATCAGCAATGAAGAACAATTCTCGTCCTGCTGCAGACGTTGTCATTGGATCTTCTGGACGCAAAAAGCGCTTTCCCCGACTCCGCAAAGCTTTCGGCTTGCGTGACTGACCGACTCCACACTTTTTATTCACTTTCACTTCTGATATATATATTGCACCATCTTTTGCCATTCTTCTTCCCTCCTTTGCACTTTTTCTTCTTTATTTGATCCATTCGATGTACTTTGTTATAATAACCGCGGAGCCTACTTTGCATCCGCAAACCACTACCTATAATCATAATGCAGGCCAATGATGCTTACCAAAAGGATTTTTGTCGGAGAGTCTAAGCAGCTTTGCTTTCCACAACAACAAGGATAAAGTGGGTGGAGGCCACCTGATTCAGTGGTATTTGTGTGTGTGTGATGGAGGAGCTTTCACCACCGGGGTACTTTAATGAGATATACGGGATTCTTTCTGTTGTTGTTGTTGTTGTTGTTGTCTTCCACATGTGGTTGTGGCTATGGGTACGGGGACACCTGGCGCTTGGGATCGGTGGCGGTCGGATGGTTGGATGGACGGACATATGGGATTATGTTTTACTTTCAACTAGGGTTTGAAAATTGGTTGATACCCTTCGATTCAAGGTCGTGTTGAAGATGCGCGGTCCATGGACTGAATAAGACAGTGTTGTTGTGTGTAAGCTGAATCTAATCAACGGGGTTTGTCGATGACCGTTCAATATAAACTTCGTACTTCCTTGATCTTGAGCTAAAGGGGAAGGAGTACTCCGTACCGTGGACTGACAGTACTGGAGCTGGGGTAGGGGTGATATCTCGTTCCTGCAGGAGTACTATAGCTGAGCCTCAGGGCTCAGTCTTCCACCCACCTTCCCATCTCGGCCATCAATTCCTCAGTCCTCTCTTTTCCAGGCCAGGCCACGCGGGTATCTCGATCTCCATCATGGAAGAGATAGACAGATCCCACGCAATGTCCCTAGTACAGTACAATACAGAGACACGCCCAACGCGCGCACGAGCAGAGCAAAGAAGTACTGTACTGTACTGTACTATCCTCTACCGAGCAGGGATATATAGATGCCCTGAATCCTCTGCAGACTTCCACTGCATAATAGAAAGCCTTCTCCCCCCCCGGGTCAGACAATCCATGATCTGGATCCCCCATCCCCCATCCCCCATTCCCCATTCCCCTTGGACAAAACAAACCCATCGAATCTCAGGTCCATCCTGCCACCCCGCGTTCGCGTTCAGCCCAATAACCAGGTAAACAAGCAGTCTGCCACCCTACCGCACACCACACTGTCCCCAAGTCAATCAACGTATCTGCCTCCCCCTCCTGGCCCATTTCATTGGAATAGTACAGTCGAAATCAACCCGTCGATCCCATCTCCATACCAGAGCACCCGCCACCACACGCAGGAGTGCCATCCCATCGACGGGAACCCAAATTCGCGCGGGGATTGGCGCAGAGCTACGGAGTAGCCTACCCGGGAGAGCCGACAGCGCGGCGTACGGTACTGCACTGCACTGCACTGCACAGGTAGGTGTACATGTCTACTACAACAGGATAGCCAGGTGTGTGCATACCTACTACAACAGGACAGGACGGGACAGGACGGGACAGGACGGGACATGATACTACCCCCCTTCTGAGCCTCCGAGTGGGTAAGATATACATTTCTGAATTGGATTGAATGTATGTATGTAACCTACATATTCATTAATTGACTCCTCGCGCAGGAGTCGGAGGGGGGGGGGATTTCTTTCCTTTGTTTGGAAGGGGGCAGGCTCCGGGTGTATTTCGCTGAGATTTATCATTGGTATTATAACATTATAAGTCCGCTAGCCACGGGAGAAGAAAGAAATAACAGTCATGGTGTCTTTCCCTCTACTAGGCAAAGCAGTCATGGAACAGCCATTTGCCTGCCACTCGTCACATTACCACTATCGCCAATAATCACCGGTAAAGATAGACATTTCTCGTGGAACTCGAACTGGGCTTCTTCTACTGTCCAAGCTGTGGTCGATCCCCCAACCACTACCTCTGAAGCTGACTTCATCTTTGCGTGTTCAACTGTCCGAATGTGCCAATGCAGTTGCCATAGGGAATCGGATGGTTAGGGCCACAGGATCAAAAGACTTAGCATGTCCTACTGCACTACAAGCAAAGGGAGTACTCTAGCCACTGGACCAACGGGTGCATAGCCGGTCCATTGTCGATAAAATAATCAGTCTACTCAAAGCCAGTTCTAGATCATGATCTACATCCATTATTGCTAGATACAAGAAGGCCATGATACATTCGAGTAAACAATTTTTGTCAAAAGGCCATTCCGTCATACGTGAATCCATCAGATACAAGATTTAATTTCTTAGGTCATCAATGATCGTGCGCTGCGAGTGAAAAAGAAAAAGACAAAAGAAAAGTCAAAGACCCATGGGCGGTCCGTGGTTGATGCTTTGCGGGAGTGACCACGGTTCCCACCCACGGGCACCATACCCAACCGAGTAAAGGCTTACAAGCGGGAAGCGTGGACCACCTTGTAGTCAACGACCAACTCGCGGCCACCGTCGTTGATGACAAGGGCACGGACGCTGCCACGGCCATCCTCGAACGCCTCGCGGATGCGACGGAAGAGGTGGCCCTGGGGAACGACGGGCAGGCCCTGCTTGACATCACCGGTCTCGGTCATGGCGACCAGGCGGCCGTCATCGCGGAGGTCCAGGATGCGGTAGGTCTTGTAGACGGGACCAAGCATGGTCTGGACGACCACCGAGGGGGAGGGGTTGGAGACGAAGCTGGACTCCTCCTGGAGCTCCCGGGTGAAGAGGTCGACACCCAGGTAACGGTGCTGGCCGGTCTGGGGGGAGACGGAGATGCGGATCACCTGGCAGGGACGACCCTGGAGGATCAGGATGTCGCCGATGCGGATGAAGTGGACGGGGATCGGCACGGTCTCGGCGGTGGCGGAAGAGTTGCCGGCGCGGGGCTCCACAATGCGGACATCCTCGCGGACGCCTTCACGGAATCGAACTGGCCCGCGTTCGTCAGCGACGACTAGTTCCTCGTGGTCTTTGTGACCATGGTGGTGGTGGTGGGAGGAGGTGGGGTGCATGATGCGGTCGGCAACGCGCTCCACACCACGACGGAAGGAGTGATAGTTACCGTCGTCGTCGTAGTAGCCCATCTTGCGAGAAGGAGGGGAATCCACAACAGTCTTGGGCTTGTAGACCTTAACGTTGGCTGAAGAAGCAGGAGCTTGGGGAACCGGCTCAACGCTCTGTTGACGGCGGCTGTAGGGGTCCCGTTGGTAGCTGTCGACGGGCTTGGACTGGTACGCACGGTCGTAAGAGACGTCGATCTCTGATTGGACAGTGCGGTCGTACGATACGTCCCTGGTCGGCTGGCGGGGGCCTGGAGCGTAAGAGTCTACAACAGGAGCCTGGGTAGACCGGTTGTAGGCGGGGTTGACGTCGTAGGTAGGGTTGTTGACCCGACGACGGTACTCACGCTCAGTGATATCGAGCTGAGTCTGAAGAGCTTGATCGTACGTGGGCTGACGGTCTTGGAAACGGACCGACGGTTCACGATAGCTGTAGAGGGAAGAAAGGATGAGATGTCAGATAGGGATTGACAAGGGAGGGGAAGCGGATAAGAGATGATTGGGTGGGACAAGAGAAAAGAAAGGTGTGTAAGTATGAGGGGGAGGGAAGGGGGAAGAGGCAATAGTCAGGTAAGGTGTATGTGTGTGGGTGGGAAAGTATAAGAAGGCGGGTGGTGGAGGAGAAAAGAGGAGAAAGAGAGGAGAGGATGGGGAATGGGAAAGAGTGGGAAGGCACGGGAAGACCCAGTCAGCTTCCCTTTAGGGCCAAGGGACCATTGGGTGATTTGTTTGTTTTGGTGCCACGTAAGAAACGAGAAAACAGAAATGAAAACAAAAGAAATAAAATAATAATAATAATAATAATAACAAATCAAAAAGACCGACCACCAAGAAGTGGAGGAAGCGAACTAGAGCGCATTAGGCCAAGAGAGATTCGATGATGGTGACACCGCTTCTTTTGGCCTCTCTCTCTTTCTCCACTTGGTTTGCTGTCGGTGCTAGACCATAGTCTAGGCAGACACCGGACAAGTCTTTATAATCATACAAACAGAAAACGTTTCAATTGATTTCAACATACCGTTCGCGAGTTAGATCAACCTCAGGATACCGGGGCGGAGGAGCAGTACTAGTGGTAGTAGTGACTCGCTCGTCAAAGTGGACACTGACGTCGTTGGGGCGCGAAGAGTGCCTGTGGTGGTGATGTTCGTGCCGATGAGGCTCGGGCGCAGCAGGAGTAAACTGATCGCGCTCAACGAAGTGAAGGTCGATTTCTTCCTTTCCGTAGACACGCGGGTCGGGAAGAGGAGCAGAGGTTCGAGTATCTTCCCGTTCGACGTGCGAAGTGCGATCGAGATTGACTTCTTCCTCTACTCTGGCTGTGGCCGCAAGAGTAGCTTCAGGAACAGCGTCACTCCGGTACGACGACGGGAAGACACTGAAGGGGATGGGGACGCGGGCGTCAAAGTCCAGATTGGCTGTCCTGTCGGCGTCCTTTCTCGAATCCCTTTCGAACTGTTAAACAACAACTCGAAAGGCGAGACAAGAAAAGACTCTTAAGGAAGAGAGAAGTCTTTCTCGTAGAGAGATGGGAGGAGGGGGTGTGGAGGGAAAGTTGATAGATCAAACTACCCGAAGAATGCGGAGAAAGTTCCTGATGAGGAATGTGAGATAAAAGATAAGCTTAAAAAGCTTGAGGGGATTGGAATGTGAGGGTAAGGGAAGAAGAGATGAAAGAGGATGGAGAAAGAAGAGAGGAAGGGGAAGAAGAGAAGAGAAGAGAGAGGAGAAGGACAGAAGTGGAGGAGGAGGGGAACAAACCCGCTGAAATACAATTGCGGATGGTTTCCCTCGTCACGCGTTTTGTTTACCACACCTTGCCGTTTCTGGGGGCGATGTTATTCCCAGACATCCCCCATTATCCCTATCTAATCAGCTTCTAACCCACTCCAATTGACTTTCTAGTCCCTTCCTCCTCCTTTGCCCAGTTCATCCGGATTCCATACTATCAAATCTACAATTGCAGAGGCAGGTGGGTGGGTGGGTGGGAGGGAAAGGGGAACGACCCGAGGTTCAGAAATCCGCCTACAAACCACGGTTCCTGAATCTGCAACTCAAACTTACTCCAGTCCACATACCACAACTTATCTCGACCACGCTGATCTATATAGGGAATTTATCCTCCCAAATCAAACCCAACTAGCGCTAACAACCTTGATCCACCGCGCAATTGATTGATCAAATCTTTCCTCCTCGTTCACATGCAGGCCGACCCTGCTGTATCCTCCCCCAACACACACACCACGAGGCTGGCCAGCCACCTCCGGGTCCCCATGGCAACTGGGCCGGTTTCCCCGGGTCGCATCGGAAATCCGAGCTCCCTGGAGCTGGAGCTTCAGCCGATCGACGCTCCATGCGCTTGCCTGCTGCCAGCCCCTCTCTTTCGTCCGTCCATCCCGCGCTCGCTCTTAGACAATCACTGTAAGCAACAACCGAGGAAACAACCCGAGAAAAAGAAAACATCCAAGCAATAAAATAAGCTGGAGGCTGGGGTCTGGTGTGTTCTCGCTCCGACCATCCCATCGTCAAATGTTCTCGGTCAGCAAGAGCTCAGCTCTCTGGATCAGTTATCATACACGGTAGTTGTGTAAATGTGTATGATCGGGCCTACAAGCAGCAACCTGCCTGCAGCATGATGTTTCTTCAAACGCCGTGGCCTTGCCCACAGTTGGCTGGACCATGATCCATTTCAGGTGCCTATTCGTGGTCTCCGGCCATTGGAGAGCTGGTCGTTGAGCAAGCACCTCAGTCCCCGTTGCCTCTGGGGGGAGCGCCCAGCTTGCTGCTGATCTCACTGGGATGTGGACCCGACCGGGGAGGGGGCCACTCAACGGCCCAGCCATTCATGATCCAGGATCCATCAATCCAGCCAGCCAGTTCCCAGCCTCACTTCGGTAGCATTTCGCTTCCAGCCTGTCACATTGGTGCATTGGCGCTGACTATTATTAACTCTCTTCGAGAGCGGAGAGATACGTAGCAAAGGTCGGTCGGATCACAGCTGGTTGTTTCGGGTGGAAGGTTAGTCTCGATGTCTTAAGTCTGGACAGACCCACCTGCTTTCCGTCCTGTGTAGGATTTCCTTGGTCTGGCACCGTAGGAGCCAAAATGGTGTGTGTCCGTAGCGAAGCCGGTGTGATGTAGCGGCTCCCCTGGTAAGGTAGATATGCTAGTCTAGAATTATAATATCGTGGCTATGGAGTTCTGCAAGTAGTTCTGAGATCTGATCCACCTATCTTCGTCGAGGTCAGAAGGTTTAGGATCATGCCCGTCAACGCAGTCAAGTGTACATACTCTGTCCTCTGTGATTCCACTACAATCAAACGCATGATAAGGCGTATTTCATCACACAACCGGTACCCATTTTTCATCCTAGACCAGGCCTTCCTTTCAGTCGAGATTATGAGATTCAAGGAACTTAATCGAGCCGTTCGGATCTTTCGGATAAGTGAGAATGTCATTCGATATTAGAACGATACTTTTATTGTCATTCTTCGACCGTTTTGTCGGGATTATCTTCTACGGGGTGGACAGA